CTCAGGCAGCTGGGGGAGCCATGGCGGAGCAGGCAGACTAGGAAGCCATGGTGGAGCAGGCAGTTCAGGAGGCCCTGGTGGAACAGGGAGCTTGGGGAGCCCTGGCGGAACAGGCAGCTCAGAAGGCCATAGCGGATCAGACAGTTCAGGAGGCCACGGCGGAGCAGGAAACGCTGAAGGCCATGGTTGGATGGCCTCCGTGGCCTTGGCCTCACCCCTTGGCCCTCCGTATGCCTAACTCGGGAACAGTGGCCCTCCCTGGGCTTGACTTGGGGACTGGAGCCCTCCTTGGGCTCGACATGGGAACTGGAGCCCTTTCTGTGCTATACAAGGGGACTGGAGCCTTCTCTGGGCTAAACTCGGGGACTGGAGCCCTCTCTGGTCTAAACTCGGGGACTGGAGCCTTCTCTGGGCTAAACTCGGGAACAGGAGCCCTCACTGGGCTAAACTCGGGGACAGGAGCCCTCACTGAGCTAAACTCGGGAACAGGAGCCCTCCGTGGGCTCAACTCGTGAACAGGAGCCCTCCGTGGGCTAACCTCGGGAACAGGAGCCCTCCGTGGGCTGGCTTCGGGGGCTGGAGCCCACCCTGGAGCAAACTCTGGGGCTGGAGCCGACACTGGAGCGAGCTCTGGGGCTGGAGCCGACCGCCTTCTCCTCCTTAAATTCCACTTTAGGTTCGGGGTGAAAGGCGTGGTCAGCGGGCTTGACTTCGGAACAGCCGGCGGGCTGGAGAGAGCCACGGCCGGCGGGCTTGACTTCGGTGCGGCCGGCTGGCTTAACAGCAGAGATTCCGGTGGGCTTGAGTTAGCGGCAGCCCGCAAACTTAACTTTGGAGCGGCCAGCGGGCTGGAGAGAGCCGTGGCCAGCGGGCTTGACGGCGGGCTGGTTTTGGCTCGGGCCCGGACACTCCCCAGACACCGGTAGATCCCTTCCCTCCAGCATAGTCCCTTGGTGCCTGGGAGGTCCATGGGGCGATGGTAGTTGGCCCCGAGCCAGAACAGAGAATTGATGGCGGAGTCATCCAATGCCGTCGCTGCGGCGAGCCCGCAGAATTCCCAGGCGTACTCGAAGAAGGGGAGATCTCTACGGGCTAGGAAAATAAATCGAGCGGCGATTTCCATGATTGCGTGGGGGAGCAAAAACGGGAAAACAAAAGACTTTTCAAAAAACAAAAACTAAACGGGGAGAAGGGGCGCCGCTTACTTTCAGTTATGGTACAGTCTTCTGTCACGGTGTTGCCTACTGTGTCGGAGCGAGGAGCGAAGGAGCGAAGGAGATGTAGGAGAATTCAACAGTCTTTATTTACCACATGGAACACACACGTAGGAATGAGGATTGACGATCAAGACAGCACAGCGAACTCAAAACAGGAAACACTATAAATACACAGGACTTGACGAGAAACACCTGGGATCAATAAACATAATTGCACATGAGGGAAAACGGGTCATGGAAAGCACGTGGGGAGTAAAAAACAAAACACGGAACAGAGTCTGACAATATGTGTCTAAAAGAGATAGAGGATTTGTAATATGTACAGTGTATATTTATATGTGTAAATATGAAAAACTGATGGAAAACCACTCACAATGAAGGCAATCGCTGATGTATATACTGAGTGCCAGTTGGATAAGGCGGAAAGATTCCGTAAGAAATTTGTCACTGGTCTGGCACTCCATTCTATAAATAAATCAAAATAAAAAGATAAATAACAAAAGCTGAAAAATTTTTGTGAATCCATGTGCATATTAATGCCTCAACATCAACAAAACCACAGGAACACTTTAATACAACAACAAAAAGAGACTTACTAAGTCGTCGCATATTTTCTGTTAATCTGAAACAAAGACAAAGCAAATTTTCAAGCAAAAGCAAAAAAAAAAAAAGAACCACAACAATACAGCTATATTTCTACAGTTTCTGAGTGATTCTCAAAATAAGAACAATCTGAGGTATCATTCATGCACAAACAGTGAGGGACAAGTGACCTTCCTTTCAGCAAACACCACTGATTTCTTCCACCAACCACAGCCTGTCTTGTATTTTTATTGCAAAGTGACACTTAAACTGTGTAAATCAATTAAAGCAGACAGCTGTGGCCAGCACACACTCAATACCTCTCTTCAGAGACAGATAGATGTACTTCATTGATCCCTAAGTGGACATTCAGGAGACATAGACTTAATAGCCTCATGTATAATTGAGGCAGTTACATGCATTGACTGGACATCAGACCCAGAACTCTTTGAATTTGACCCCAAACCACAAAACCTCAAATATTCTCAACAGGTTCAAAATAACTGTCTGTATGAAATAAACCAAGTGGATTAAACTGTGAAGCTCACACATTTTTGAAGAATCTCTGACTTTATAGACTTCAGTAGAATATTAATGATGCAAATAAAAATTAGCCTTTGCAGAGTAAGTTCAATATGTTGTTACCATTCTGATGAAAAAACATTAAAATACATCCTTCCACAAATTCCAACAGGAATGTATGGGTTAGTAGTCCATTGCATGTAATATATTTTTCAAATGTTTTCTGAAACATTTTAAAAATATATGAAATTTGGCTTTTTTAATATTTTAAGTGTGATTATTGGATTACTGCTTTTTGGATTTTACTTTAATTTTTTCCCCTTCTAAAGACCACCTTCAAAAATATCTTAAGGAAAGTTCTGAGTATAACAGATTATTTTTAGATTGTTTGTTACTTGTTGAGTCCTGCTTCACTAGTTTTGCTCACTGTAGTATAAATTGTAGTGTAAATTGTTACTGGAATTTTTTTCCCAGTACAAAAAACAAACAAACAAAAGGCTGTACACTGTTCCCTTTCGAAAGGGAACTCCACACTGTGTCCTCTAGAGGGCGCTAGGGGAACGCCTTCAGCGTGATGTCTGAAGCATTAATGAAAAAACGACAATGAACTTGACATTGGCAGGCGGCAGCCTATGACGCAAACAATAAAGCGACTGCGGGTATAAAAGCACACCTGCGGAAAACGTCATCCTCTTCTTTGTCTTCAAGCCTTGTGTACGGAAGCACGTGCGTTTGACTCATGAGGGATAAGGATGTGCTCACTGTTTGCATTTGCGGAACTACTAGAGCAGAGGTCTGTACTCGAGCGCTTGTACGAGCGCGTTCGCCTCTCGAGGGAGTTGAACAAGCTTAAGGTGATGCATTCGCGGCGGTTTCTGTTCTTGCCTGATTCTTGAGAGAATTTAGTGCTTGAACGGAGTGTGTTTGGCTCTCGACGGAGATTAGCCACGCTGCGAGATGTGATCGCGTTGAGAATGCCTGTATGCCTGATTCTCTTTGAGAATTGAGCGCCTCTCACCCACGTTTCGGGTCTCGCGGCTGCTGAGGCAGTTAATCAGACCGATCACGGGGATTGTAGGCGGGGCATGGAAGGAATCTGACGAGGAGTGCTTTCTCTTTCAGAATTCCTTTTTTGTTTTATTTTATTTCACAGAATAGGAACTGTATAATGTGTGATATCTACATTATTGGTGAAGGAGGCTCCTGACTTGGTGTAATGGCAAGTTTTTGAGTTGTTAGGCTCTGGTTTGAGCCTCCTCATCCTCTCAGCCCAGGTATACTTATCTCTCGTGAGTCAAAGGCATGTGCTTCCGTACACAAGGCTTGAAGACAAAGAAGAGGATGACGTTTTCCGCAGGTGCGCTTTTATACCCGCACTCACTTTATTGTTTACGTCATAGGCTGCCGCCTGCCAATGTCAAGGGCATTGTCGTTTTTTCATTCATGCTTCAGACACCGGTCACGCTGAAGGCGTTCCCCTAGCGCCCTCTAGAGGACGCAGCGTCTCGTTCCCTGTTCTCAGGGAACCATGGTTACATGCGTAACCTGAGACGTTTTCATTGAAGACTGATTTAATTGTAATTGTAATGGTTTTGAGTTTTTTTTTTTTTCCCTATCATGTGTATCTTTTATTTTGAAAGCTCTTTGTAAGTTTTTGGGTTCTTGAAATTAAATGTCTAGAAACAACAACCCCCAAACATAAAAACTCTTAAAAACTTGTACAAGCAGACTGGACCGTCTTACTTTCAACTGCATCAAATGAATAGAACAAAACAAGTTCAAAACAAGTTAAGCTCTAATAATAATTACAATGTTACATGATTAGGTGCATCTTCAATACAATACAGATTATTTTTTATACATATTTTGTTGCATTAAACCCAGAATATTCTTCCTACATAAGCCATATGAAAGAGGCAATAATTTACCAAAAGATTTTTAGGCAACATTTAGGCGATCAAATATAACAACAGTACTTTTCATGTATAATTTACCTTAGACGTGTTGAGAAATGTAAACATATTTGTGTTGTAATGCCATCTAAATGTGGCATATTAAGTCTAAGAAAAACATAATTTGATAGAACCGGAAGGGAACATATGTTAGGACATATGCAAGAACCGGAAGGGAACATATGTTAGGACATATGCAAACTTTTATTTTGAAAGGCAAATTAATTTTCTGGTGAAAATAAAAGCTTCATGTTATGTCAGTTTCCGTCCTGCCCTTTTGAAGATCTCTTCTCTGCCACTAAACTTGGCTTATTCTGACTAAAAGCATCCTGGCCACAGGGGGGCAGATGTTTACTAGACAGAAAAGGATCTCTGGGACATAGTATTGGAGCAGAGTATTTAAAGTTTCACACGAATTACATGAAGAATGAATTCCACAGGTGATTTTTCTTCACTGACCTTTTAGCACTTAGTGGCTCCTCAGCCTCAACCGTGTTCTCCTCAGGCTGGAAGCGAAAATCCTCTATATAAACCCCGAACCGATCATACAGCCAGCTCTGCAGCCGCGAACACATCGTCTCTTTCTGCTGTTTGTCTACAGAGAGAGTTTAGAAATATATTTGATTTAGAGACCAAAACCAAATCTCGATTAATATGAATCTTGCAGTGTGGGTGTACTGAGAAAGAGAGGAAAATGAGATGCTTAAAAAAAACACAGCTCTCCTGAACTTCAGACGGCATTGCTTAAACTTTTTAACCTGATTCTGAGTTTGGGTGTTTTTCCTGAGGTCTGGAACACAGGACTCATCTCTCCTATCTTTAAAAGTGGAGACAAAACAGATCCTAAGAACTACAGAGGGATCTGTGTAACCAGTAATTTGGGGAAAAAGTATTTTGTTCTATAATCAACTCTCGGATTTCATCTTTCTTAAAGCAGCACAGTATCATCAGCAAATCTCCTATTTTTTTCCTCCCTAAACATCGAACCACTGACCACTATCACACACTACACACAATAATAAAATATATGTATGTACATTTGTTTGTATTTATTTTGCTGTGTACAGTTCTTTGTCAATATGTACCTAAGTATGTCATGCCAATAAAGCAATATATGAATTGAATGAATCAAGAGAGAGAGGAGGGGTGCAGGGGGGTTGTGCTCTACATTCTCATTTCCTGCCTTAAACAAAAGGGGTTGGTCTGGCCTAGATGGTCTACAAATTTAGACAAGTGCCTAAAATAACAGCTGAACGCTTCCAGAAGCAGAAATTTCAGTCACAAACCTAAACCACAAACCAGCCATAAAATCCAAAACCTCAACACAGGATTAGAGGCACAATTACCACTTGAACCCACATGACTGACAGACAAATAGAGAAGGTGAAAATTATGAAATCCTGTTAGAAATTAGGAGATTTGGTTGAGTCCATTTGAATTTATGTCACCCTGAAATTTCACAGTCCCACTAGGATTGTGTTTTTAGGAAAATTACTTTTTTTTTCTGGTAGTAGGCAAATTTCCAGAATTTTGATTCTTTTTTTTAATAGGGGTACCATATTTACAGTACCATATTATGTGTGACACATTGATAACATTGATATGACACAATATAGTAATTTTATTATTATTTTTTTTGTTGTTATTAAAATAAGAACAAAACTTATTTATGGAATTGTGAAAAACTGGCGAGAATGCTAATCTCAAACTGTATTTGGTCTGGAATTATTTAAAATAGTCTCCCCAGCTTTTCACGATTCCATAAATATATGTGAAATTATTTAAATAAAAGCTTTCTGTGATTAGTATAAAAATTGACAGCACACACATATTGGGTAAAGTAGAACATTTTCAGTAAACAATTTTTTTGTTGATACTTTTCAGCATTAAAAAAAAAAAAAAGCTCATAGCAGTTTAGATACAATTCTGCCTTAAAATTTACTATTAAGAATTGATCAAAAAATTGTGAGGTGTAGAAGTATAGTCATCTAAAAATGTTTTGTTCCTTTTGACGCATAATATCATTTAAATATACACATGTGTATTTTAGTCACATATCTTTATTTCTTATAATCTGTGTGTGTGTTGTTGTCTATGTGCACTGGAAGCTTCTGTCACCAGAACTAATTCCTTGTATGTGCAAACATACTTGGCAACAAAGCTCTTTCTGATTCTGATTCTGATAACATTGAGGGTTGTATTACCTGTGCCGTTAGCTGCAGGTGGCTGCTGCTTCCGTGGAGGCTGAGGTGGAGAATCTTCACACCTTCACCAGGAAACACAAACTACATTAACTTTCAATTCAATTCAAACTTTTATTCAGACCTCATCAACACGTTGATCTTCTACACATATTTGCAGATTAACTATCAGAAACTTCTCCTCAATGTAGCTCGGCCTGTGCAAGCCTAAAATGTGCTGGCAATCAAATCTGAATCAATTAGATGTTGAAATGGCATCAGTGGAAAGAACACTCTGCACTGACATATTGCTGTGCACAACTCTACGTATAGACATCGACTTCCTGCTGAAGGATCATGGGGGGTGGGATGTAGTGGCTATTTCTATAGCTCAGTGTGAGACGTGGACAGCCCACTGTGGTCAGTTCTATCGTGACAGCCAGAGAGAGTACAGGACCAGATCATTGAACACTGCCAACATGCATCAATTTATCACAGACTACAGAAGGAAACTATTAAACTGTGCTATGCTACAGTAAAAGTTTTCTCCAAAACTTAATTCAACTTGTGATTTCTACTCAAAACTTTCTGCATTTCAGGTCTTTTTAATGCTTTCCTGTAGACTTGATTTTTTATTATTTTTCACCTGGTCTTCAGCACATCACTCATCTTCTGTTCCAGGTCAAGTCTTCTGCTGCGTTCTCTCTCCAACTCCTGCTTAAGGGTCTCCACATTGGTTTCTTCTCGGAGCTTCCGCAGTTCCTCCTCTGAAAGAAAAAAAAAAATGCCACAATTTAAATTTCCACACAATTTAATAAACCTTCTATAATGAAGACATTACAAAAAATATTATGATCTAGTCCATGACATATAAGTTTTATTATAAACATTTCTTAACTTTCATAAATGTTTTTTGACATATAGCACAGTAATACCATGATTTACTTTTCTAGATCTACCATGTAAATAGTTTAGTGACTTGTCTTAATTTTAATTTCTTTGAATTCTTAGTGATTTTTTTTTATTTGGCACAATAATATGGTAATCATCTAGTATCACATTATACTGTATACCACCACCTAATACATAATGATTTATAATGCTACAGTAAATAAATACTACTACTACTACTACTACTACTACAAATAATAATAATAATTTTAATGGAAAAATGCTTTGTAAAATCCTGTCCATTGGTTGTTCATTGTACAGCACCTTACAATGGCAAAAATGATATAATTTTTACTGTAAATTGTTAGAAAAAAAATGTTTTAGAAAAAAAAAGTTAGTTAGTGAAGGAAAAGTTAGTTTAAAAAAAAACAACTAATAATTTACAGAGAAAATGTATATTTATGTGTAACTAACAAGCCAATACATATATTTATATAAAATACATATAATACATATAAAATATTTTAACAATATTCTACTCTAGAAGTGCAAGTATGAATCTGAATCGCATTATGATTCCTTGGGAATACCTGTATAGTGGTATGCTTGATTCTGACAAAAAAAAAAAAAAAAAACTATATATATATAAACCATTTTTGCCCATTC